TTTTTTTTTTTTTTTTTTTTTTTTTTTTTTTTTTTTTTTTTGTCAAATTGTATTCACTTCAGTTAACAACATCTTTTAAGTAAAGAAGAGATTAATAATAATCGTTAATCATTATTTAGTTGATGTCAATACAATTAAATGCTTGACGTAAATTATTGTCTTCTAATATTACTAACATAGATATAAAATGATTTTTCCTATATTTATAGGTTACTTTTAGATAGGTTTAAATGCTACTGAACGCTCAAGAGATAGCAATTTTGTACACATATTTTATTCAACAAAATCATATATCTATTGTGCTTATCGTGAAAACAAATAATTGATTCATTGAAATTTATTTCGCCTCTGGTCAAAATAGTTCTTATCTCACTGGTCATAATATCGTATCCAAAAAGTGAAATAAGTGTAATCTCTTCTTTTTTATATGTACTCGTCTTTTTGCAAATAGCTTCACGCAACATTCAAAGAATATTCCTTGTTAATGGCATGAGACGGCGCAAGGAATGCATAGTGCACAGCACTACGATAATTGAAAAAAGTTATTAATATCATCTTGATTTTTGAGTGACTTTGGCGCGATTTTTTCGATCTTCATTCTCCTTCCGATAATGTGATTGACATTCAGAAATCATTTCCGCACAAACATTGTGAAAATCGGAAAGAATTTTTTCATTTTTCGTAAGCTGAGACATTCACAGAAATTTTCTACTTTTCACCTTCCACTAACGTAAGTAGTTTTTCTTGTCTTCGTCGTACATTTCTATGCATTGTCAGTCTATATATAATCTGAACCTACATTTACATATTGATATAACTAAAGTCAATTTTATTACTAGGATTAATATTTGTAGGTTTAGCTTTTTTAGCATACATTTTAAAGAATTTCCAAGAGATTGCGTAGCGAGAACTATATCATATGTTATCGGATATTCTTTATAATATAACTTAATTTGTGGAAGGAAGCGTTAACGGTGGAGTTTTTCTGAGCTTTAAATAGGTTAGATTGTGGGCCCCAAAAACATCAGACCCGTGGAGCGTTTCATTTTCTTGCCTAACCTAGTGAGGGTGTGCGCTCAATGTATAAGTGTTAGGCCTTCACCGACTCGGTAGCATTAGTTATAACCAGCCCGCGAACAGCGACTTGGTAGTCGCGACTACTATCTACTCGGCTACGCGATAGTTGCCATCATTTATTTAATTTAATTTTTTTTCCCTTCTCTAAAGGTTACGAAAGATTCGCTTGGTCAATGTCTTCAATTTTTGCTTTCCTTTTAAGAGCTCAGCAAGAATGTTTCCCAATATTTCTTATTGCTTCAAATGTTTTATTTTATAAAATTTGTCTAGTAGTTCTGTTGATGAGCTTTGCCGCTTAGTTCGAATTCTCCATTTCTGAAATCTAACAAACCACTGCCCATTTTGGCTGCAGTACTTTTGTATTTCCGCTAAAATTTTTTTTTTTCTTACTGCTGATGTAAATGCAATTAATTCTTTCACATATTAAGGGATGATAGAGATCTAACAACACACCAAGGTTGCGTTTACTGTATTGCAAAGCATTTTTGAAATATCTTGGCGTTCAAGTTATTTATTGCACCTAACACTGGAATAGGATAGAGTCATAAATTTAGGAATATATTTATATATAAGGATATAGTTTCTGAGCAAGCCCCAGCTCGTGCCGTCGCAGCACAGGAAATAGCTTTTCAGAGATTTTCAACTTTTATATGCTGTTGCTCTCATCTTCTTTCTCTTTTAAATAATCATAATAACGCCAAGGCGAGCAGAGTGTTTTCAAAAAAAAAAATGGCCTTGTGGCCGCGGTCAAGTTTGAATACCATTTCATCATTATAAAATCGATTTTTAATAATTAAAATAATAAAAAAGAATGGTTTTTACCTTCTCGGAATGACACAAATCTCTCCCTCAGAAAATCTCTGTGCAAATCGTAGCCCAAATGATAAGCTTGAATGAGATCTTTTAACACACTTTTCATTTACATGGACCTTCTGTGACAGGCAGATAAGTCCCAACAGTACCGAAAATGTTTCGTGAATAACATGAGCATGAAATTCTGTTCTATTCCTCAGTCAAACTTCTTTAAGAATAAGCGTTAGAATCAATTTGGCATATGTGGAGTGAATGACTTAACTTCTTCTCGTAAGCGAAACGAAACGGACTACTTCGTCTTGTTCATATAAGACTTTGCCCGATAATAAAACGCTATTTCCTGCAAAGGCGATTTTAATTTGGCTCAGTACAGAATATTTTGAATATTTCAGAAGCGATAGCTAAACGTTAAGTCGGAAATACTAAACTTTATTGGATTTTTTCCGGGGATTTGTTATTAGTGTAAAACGAAAGAAGTTAAAGTCTGGAATGGGGCAATAGAAACGAAAAGAAGAAAGAAACGGTAGAAATTAATTCAATTATCCTAAAAAAATTTTTGGTTTTTGTTTTTTTCTTCTTCTTCTTCTTCTTTTTAAACACATTTAACTAATTGGCAACGCATTGATTTCTCACCTCAATAATGTTTTTCGCTCTCAGTTGAAGCTGATTGAAAAAAAAAAAAAAAAGAAATAAGAAAAACGACACGAATTTTTATAAAGCAAATAAAACTAATGCGATTAATTCTCTCCTTTTCCGCACAATAAGAATAATAACAATGCGCTCTCGCAACTTAACTGTGCCTATAGTAAATGAAAGTTGTGTGTATGCGTAGAGAATTATCAGCGTTATTTTTAGTTGAGTTGTGTGTACGAGTACAGAATTACGGCGAATTCATTTCTTGCCTATCTGCTCATACATATATATATATATGTAGCATATATACATGTAGATGTAATATAAAAAAAAAAA